GATTATATTCTATATGGCATACCTCTTATGCCTGAAAGATAAGCAAGAAGAAGAGTTTGGAACCGTAAAATTTTAGCCCTAGATGGAACTTTAGAGATCATCTAGTCCCAATCCACTCACTTTATAGAGGAGAAAAATGAGACCTTTCACAGTGAAACCAACTGTTTTAAGGTCAGACCAGTTAGTGGCAAAACCTGGATTCCCTATCTTCAGATAGTTCTTTTCACTGCTCCATGCTGTCTCTGTGTTTTGCTTCCAGGCAATAACATATAATTATCATCATTAGTATTTGAAATTTTATCTGGTTTTTACTTCACTAAGTTTTTTATAATCTGTATAATTACTTCTATTAGTAACTCTCTAAGAAGATAAAGGTAAAGATGAATTGCCAATCTATATCAGTAGAGGGAGTTTTTCCATGAGAAACTCTGTATACTGATGAAATTGAAGTTCCAGATTTTAAAAATATAACTTAAAGCATGGTCTAGCTATGAAGATAGATGCCAAAGTGGACAATACAGAAGTAGTAGATTACCTGGAGAACCAAGTCTTCTTGTGACATTGGTTAGATTGGGAGATGGGGAAGGGGAGAAAAGCCTTGTCCTACTACAACAGTATTCATCAATTGAATACTTAATGGATATTGATTTCAGCTCTGCAGTGGCCTTGGAAGGAGTCTCTAAGACTAAAAGACAGCCTCCCTGTCCTTGAGGAGCTATAGTCTAATGGAGGGATGAGAAAAACATGCACATACTATTTGGATGGATCTGTTATCCTTTGTATCCACAACTTAGCACAGTTCCTTCTACACAGTGGGTACTTAAGAAATGTTTGTTGAATTTGGATTATCTCCAGTGTGGGGGATTCTAACCCACCATTCAGGGGTTCATTCACTTTCACTTTCTCATCTATGTAATTGTTGTCAATGTCTTTCCATAGAATCTTCATGGAAGATCTATCCAGTAGACTAAAGGCTGTCTTCTGGTTCCTTTAATATCTCTGGGATACCAGCAGAGCATTTAAGCTACCGATCTCTTATCTCTAGTTCTTACTGTGACCTCCTTTTCCTATTTTGCATGTCATCAAAGACACCTTTTATACCACTACTCATGCTCCAGTAATCACTGGCCAATATGTAGCCAGCTTTCACTCACCATGCATCCTTCTGTTGCCCCCTTGGGTCAGTTACAATTTTGAGTTTTCTCAGATCATCTCAGCCATCCAGAATAATCTGGTACAAATTAGAGTTCAAGAGATGGGTCTTTAGCAGTAATACAAGTAATAAAGACACAGCCAACCACAGATATACCGAAATGTCTATGGAGAGCTACTGTACATATGTGCTGAATGAGTATGGATATGGTTGGGGGTAGGAGAAAGGGAGAGAGAATTACAGGGCATTGAGTATAGCTTATATGTCATAGTCATGGATCAAGTCTCTGATCTGGAGAGGAAGGAGCTAGAGGGTGGCTAGGCTCAACAGTGTGGGCATCTAAGGTCTCCTCAACGATGTATCCCTAGGGATCAATTGTTGAGCTGAGAACACTTTGAAATGCTCTTATTCTTGTAGTCGGAGGACAGCATCCAGAGCTAGGAAAGCTACTCCTACCAAAAATTCCAGAATCATTGGTCACAGACCAAGGCATCAGAAAGGTTGGAGGGCAGAAACCTGGCCTAATGGGAAAGGGGGACTAGGTCTATTAGTTGTGGTTCTTAACTTACTACCTGATAATTCCTCTTGAGCTTGCTCTAGATCCTATTCTGGGTCATGGTATTTCCATTTCTGTCACAAATTTAGAACTGGAAGGGAATTTAGGGAGTATTTCAACCAGTCTTCTCATTTAATAGATGAGGCAACTGAGGCCCATATAGATTAGCTGACTTGTCCAAGGTCACCAAGGTATCAAATAGAAGAGCTGGGATTTGAATTCCTATCCTAGGGTCGAAGATTGAGAGTTGAAAAGGGTGCCTTAGAGACCATCTAGTGACTATATTCCAGTTCAATGCCCCCATGTTACAGATGAGGAAACTGAGGCCCAGAGAGGATTAGAATCCAAGTCCAAGGCCAAAGAAGTAATAAGTGGCAGTAATGGAACACCTAGGTCCTCTAAATGGGTAATTTAGTACTTCTTCTATTACACTACAGCACCTCATCAAAGAAGTAATCCTACCTTACCACTTTTTGGAAAGTTTAGCAGATTTGGGGAAAAAAAAGAAGGCCTACTATCTAAAGCATTTTCTTTCACTTCAGTGCTCTTCAAACTATAAAGCAATGAATAAATATTTATAAGGTATTATTTGTAGTTGTATTCCCATGGTACAGATGAAGAAGCTGAGGCAAAAGAGGAGGTACCTCAGTGGGCAAAGACAGAGGCAAGATTAGAAGCGGGACTGCTCCCTGGTCTTCAGCACTCTGACGCACAGAGTCACAGCATTTTAGAGTTGGATGGGACCTCAGCAACCGTCTAACTCAACACTTATTGGTGAGGAATACGAACCATCACATACTGACAAATGGTACCCTAGTCTTTGCTTGTGTGAAGCACACACCTCCAGAGGCAGCCCATTCCCCTTTTGGATACCTCTTATCAGGAGTGTGCTGGTAAATTTTTTTTAAGGTAATCAGGGTTAAGTGACTTGCCCAGGGCCACACAGCTAGTACGTATCTGAGACTGGATTTGAACTCAAGTCCTCCTGACTCCAGCACTGGTGCTCTATCCACTGTGCCACCTAGCTGCCCTGTGCTGGTAAATGTTAAACAACCATTTAACTGAGGGGAAATGTGCCCATGATGCACTTTTTAATTTTAATCTGTACCATTAACATTTTCTCCATCACTTGAAGTCTAGACAATAAACAAAACAATAAACCAAGCCCTGATGTATAGAATTAGCCAATTTCCAAGGTATAAATGCTCACACTAAAAATTTAACAATTGGCTCACAGGTTCAAGCTGACTTCAGCACACCTCTCTAATTGTTAGGAATTGTTTCTTGACATCAAAACTCTTTACAATTTCTGCCTCGCCACCCCAGGTTCCACTTCCTCATATCCAACAAAACAAATCTAATCTCTTTTTCATATCACAACCCTTCAAACATTTGAACAAAGCTGTCGGGTTTTTTGTTCTGTGTCTTCCCTTTTTCATTTCCTTTTTGATCCTCAAGGCCCTTCACCATCCTGGTTACCCTCCTCTGGAAGCTATCCAGTTTGTTAGTGTCCTTTACCTCAGAGCCCAGAACTGAACACGCTATTCCACATATGATCTGACCAGACAAGATATTATCATCTTCTTATTCTGGAAGCTATGCTTCTCTTAATATAGCCTAAGGTCACATTAGCTTTATTTGGCTATGGCATCATACTGCTGACTCATAATTGAGCTAGGAGTCTACCAACCTCCCCCCACCAAACCAGATCTTTTCCAGACAAGCTGCTTTCTAACCATGCCCCCCCCATCCTGTACTTTTAAAGTTGATTTTTGAACCCGAGACTAAGACTTTACGTTTATTGAATTTCATCTTATTAGATTCAGGCCAATCTTTCCAGATTCTGACTGTCATTCAATGTGTTAACTATCCCTCCCAGCTTCGTGTCATCTGCAAATATGATAACGATGCCATCCATACCTTTATCCAAGTCATTGATTAAAAAAAATATATTAAGTAGCACAGAGCCAAACACAGATCCCTGGTGCACACAATTAGAGGCTTCCTGCCAAGTAAACATTGAACCATTAAAAATTTTACTCTTTGAGTCAGACAATTCATCCAATTCTGAATCCATCGTGTAGGCCACATCTCTGTCTTTTCTACAAGAACAATTTAAGATATTACGTGAAATTCTTTGTTGAAATCAAAGTAAACTACATCTGCAGCATTCCCTGATCTACTCATTTAGTAACCCTGTCAGAAAAGAAAATGAGGTTAGTCTGGCGTGACTTGTTCTGGATGAAACCAGGCTGTCTCTTTGTAATCATCACTTTCCTTTGGCTCAATAACCGTCTCTATAATCATCTCTTTAATGATCCATTCTCAAATTTTCCCAGGAATTGAGTCAAGCTCACTGGCTTACAGTTTGCAGGCTTTATTAGCTCCCCCCCCTTTTTTCCCTCAAATTTGGATGTTTTTCCAGTCCTGCAGTACTTTGCCCATGATCTTTCAGATATCCCTGACAGAGGCTCAGTAATAATATCTGCCAGTTCTTTCAGGACCCAAGGTGGTAGTTTATTTTAACCAAGTGACTTGAATTTATCAGCGTCAACCAGGCACTCTCTTCCTGGGTCCCTCTGCCCCTTCCCTACAAGCTTGATGTATTAGAAGGGGAAAAAATACACACACACACACACACACACAAGCAAGTATTTGCTCCGTGGTCCCATGGGGAGTTTTGCTATCTCCCTCTCCTCTGGAAAAGGGTCAGGCCAACTCTCTAACCCTGACAGCCTACACCCCCAATCCACTCCTGTGGGGGAGGGATCTTCAGTGATTTCCTATACTCAGAATTGCGCCTTTCCCTGTGATTCCCTCAGGATTACAACCGGGGGGGGGGGGGGGGGGGGGGGGGGGTTTGGGGGAAAAACGGGGGGGGGGGGGGGGGGGGGGGGGGGGGGGGGGGGGGTTTGAGGAAAACACAGGAGAGACAGCGCAGTCGAGATGGGGAGGGAGGAAGCAGGGGAGGAGGAGGAGGAACCCTTCTCGGCTGCGCCTATAAGTCGGAGAGAGCGCGGGCTGTGAGCTGAACAGTCTCCCAGCCCGGGCCCTGAGGGCGGATAGCTGGGGAGAGGACTGGTAAGGCAGCGGCCCCGGGGGCAGTAATGCGGGACTCCCGGGACCCGGCTGGGAAGAGCCAGCGTCTATTAAGGCGGGTGACTGGGCCAGGGGAGCTCCTGGCCGCCTGCTGGGGGGAGCTGTCCGCGGTGCTGGAGCGTGCGGCGGCGGCGCCGAGCTGAGCTGGAAGCCAGAGAGCTCTAGCTCACTGGGGAGAGGCGGGGGCACCCGGAGACGAGAGGACCATGCCTGGATTGCGGTTCCTGGGTCCCGCGGAGGCGGGAACCTACGCCACCCGCCAGGTAAGGGACTGTCCTGGGGCGGGGCGGCTAGCTGGACTGGGAGACACTCATGAGGTGAGCGGCTTCGCTTGGGGGCGGCGGCGCGGCAGGGCGGGACAGCGCTCGGGACCAGGGGAGACTCTTGCGGGTCTTCTTTCCTTTCCGGATCCCTTACCCACCCCCAAACCCTTGGGATTAAGATAGTCTGGCCAGGGAGCGGTCGAGGGGGGAGCAGAGACACACATTAGAGCCAAGATCTGGCACCCTGTCCTCAGTCCAGGACTCACCGAGTGACCCGGGTAGGATGCCTCCTGACCCAGACCCAGACCCGGCTAGGCTTACTGGCAGCCATTTAGACAGGTCAGATATAGACCCCAGCCCTTGTCGCTCCTTCCCACCTCCCCCTTTTCTATCATTTCGGAGTAGGTGGTGGAGGACGAGAGGGAGAGACAAGAGAGGCAACGACATAGACAGAGAGAAAGACAGAAAGGAGAGAGCTCTCCCCACACTCTGAATCCCTTCCCCTTTTCTGACTTCCAGGTGCCTGCCTTCAGAATCATAGAGTCTCTGGCTCCCTTAGAGCCCTCTGGGACCACTGTCCCCTCTTTTGCCCTCCCAAGCCCGGAATAGCTAAATGCTCCCCAGTCATGTCATCTTTCACCCCAACCTGACCCAGCTGGTCAGGCAAATGGTTAGGGCTTGGTGCCTTTCTCCTGGAGTGTGATTCCCACATATCCCCAAGTGTCACCTGCAGGAGCAAAGCAGGAGGCTGGTCCTATTAAGATTTACCCATTTCTCAGCAGGAGAACTAAGGCATGGACAGATCTGATCTTAACACTTTCTCTTCAACACAACAAAATTGTACTTACTTTCAAGAAAGCTAACTTCACAGTAGCCCTTCTAGTAAACCGCGAAGTGAGGGGGGAATCAGGATAACTGTTAACGATTAGACATCTTGATGCTGTGTGATGCTGGGCAAATCACTCGACCTCTCTCTCTGTGCCACAATTTTTCCTTTTAAGTAATGAAGAAGGAATATCTAATTCCTCCTCTTTAGGTGTGGTAAAGTTGAATGAACACATACGTGCAAAACGCTTTGAGTTCTTCAGACAGGCTCACTATGTAGACAAAAGGTGGATTGTCAGAATGTTAATTACCCCTCTCATAGAACAGTGGCACCCCTGCTTTGGTTTGGTAACTCTTTTAGAACTCCTCACCCTCCTCACACAAATCAAGCTTACTTCCTTTATCCCCAAGGGTTGAACAGCCCCTCCTGTGTTTCTGCTCCTCCCCTCATAGCGTGCTCTTTTTAGTTCTACAACTGAATCCAAGGGGAAAGGTTGGCCCAGGTAGGATATTTGGAACTTGGGTCAGGGCGGGCGGGGGGAGTACTCCCTGGGATTAAATTTGTGGTCCTGAAACAGAAGATCTCTATTTGTCCAATGTAGTATTTCACTTCATAGACAACCTTAGAGGACCAGAGGGCTTTGTTTTAACTGTGGTCCCAAAAAATGTGGTCCCAGTTCACATTCTGTGTATTGAAGCATGATGATATTCTTTAGATTAACATTGACTAGGATCACTTTATTGCTCTGACACATTTATATGACCAGGTCAGCAGCCTAAGTTTAGCTAAACTTAGGGGAAAGAAACAGTAGTACAGTTCAAAGAGTACTGAAGCTATAAGATGCGGAAGATTGGGTTCAATTACTAGCCCTGCCATTTACTTGTGTGACCATGGGCAAGTCACTTTATCTCTCTTGACCACCTACCTTGTCCCAGTTATCAGCTCCACTCACTTTGATTTTTTCACCAAGGGATAAATCATTTGCAGGTTAACACTAGTGTTCCCAAGAAAACTGTCCATCTGAAGCCCTACCTTAAAATTTTGAAATATCAGACATACTTTACACATTGGATCAATAATAACAGTTTCCAGGCAAAGTGTTCTGGTCAGTGCCAACCTTGCCTTCTCTTCACTTAAATTACTATTGATCCCTCTGGTTTAGCAAGAATCTGTAAAACCAAAATTTCAAGTGGTGGGGTATCATAGGGAAAATTTTGCTCTGGAAACCCTGTGTTAGGGCATTGATGAGGCCTGGTCCCTGGCTCTGTTCTCTACCACTAACTGCACATGTAACCTTGGGCAAGTCACAATAGCAGACTTCTCTGCACCTCAGTTTCTTCATTTGCAAAGTGGAGGATTTGGATTAGATGATTCATCAGGTGCCTTTGAACTCTAGCACTCCAAGAGTCTCTTTGAAGTTCCTCTGATTCTATAGATTCCCAAGCCTACCCTGCCTATACAAATTAAACATAGGTTAAGAGTAGCTTTTTTAACTCAGTCTTAAGAGTCAGTTGATGTCATTTCATTGAGTAATTGGGTTGTCTAAAAAAGAACAGAAAGGAATTATAGGCTATAGAAAAGTAAATTATATTCCTACTATTTTCCGCTACTTCCTTGGAGTGACTTTCCAAGAAAACCATCAATATCTTGAATGAAGCTCAGAGATAAATGCTGGGTCTTGACTTGGAGAAACTAGAGGGAAGGAGGACCTTGTATTTAGACATCCTCTTATTCCCTTGCTCTTAAAGCAATGGTGATGGAAGTAGGAGCCAAATAAACCCCCAACCTCAGCACATCCAGGAGCCAAAGGCTGGCCTCGAAGCAATTAGCTTCATTCTCCTAGGGACCTCATCTCAATCTCAGGCTGGATAGGGTCCATTTTCCAGTCAGAGAGGACATGAAGAATGGGGAAGGGGAAAGAAGAGATTACTCCCTGGGGAGCTCTCCTCTTAGAAAAAAATGAGCTTCTTTAATAATAATTCCATAAGAGAGTGGCAGGCCTTGCCAGTCACTCAAACTATCATTAATTGGTGCTTGAGTAGTGCTGAGTAAGCCATATGGTTGACCTCCCCAGTTGTCCTGCCAGGACACGTCCAGTGTCAGGGAGCCAGATTCCCCCACGCTTTCCCAGTATCAGACCTTTCTGATTTACAGCTTTCCATGTAGAGCTGTTGAGAATAAGATTTCCCCCAGTTAATGTAGAATCACTAACCCTTTGCAACAAAGCAGCAGCAAGAGAAAGTCAAGGGTGCTGGGCCTTATTTTCCACATGGACAGTCTTTAGGAGAGATTGCCTGTAGCTGGCAGTAAGGGAGTGAGTTATTCCTGTCTTTCTTCTGCAGGCAAGGCAGAGAGAGCACCAGTTGGAACTGGCAGGATGAGGGGCACCTGTAATAACTGCCCCAGATCCAAACCTGCTCATTTCCTAACCATCAACAATGGAAAGCTTAGCATTTCTATGGAGAGAAAAAGACAGTGACAGAGATCATCTAAGGACAACTGCACATTACTAAGGCCTTACATTTGTATAACACTTTACATTTTGCAAAGTGTTTTCACACCCCTTTTATAATTTGATCCTTGTGAGATAGGCAGGGCAGATGTTATCCTCCCCATTTTACAGATGAAAAAACTGAGGCTCAGAGGGTTTTTTTTTAAATGACATGCCCAAAGTCACCCAGAGTGATATCAGACCTTAAGGTCTTCTGATTCTTAGCCCAATACTCTTTCCCCTAAACAATGCTGAGATAAAGAGTTGGTATGTGTACCTTATTGGAGGGGCAGACCATGTCCTCTTTTTCAGAGGGAAAGCATCATTGTTAGGAAAAAGACACTGCCTCTGTCTCTGGGTGAAAGAAGGTTTTTGAATTCCCCAACCCTGCTGCTCCTTCCATTTTCCTTCCTCTGCAAGGAATTTAGTTATAATCCCACCTAGGACTTAGGCCTCTGGCCTCACAGAAAATGTTTTCCCAACCCTAGTATAGCCACTGGGGTTCTCCTTATCCCTCTTTCTGTTTTCCTTTATCTCTTTTCCTCCCCTCCTCTCATTCCTCCCTCTGTCGCATCCTCTCCCTTACCCTATGGGCCTGATGTGCTATTTCCCACCATTAGATGCGCCACTCTGCCTTTAAGTGGTTGGGAAGGAACTGCTTCAGTGGAAAAACAAGGTTTTTATCAGTGAGAATAAAGATTTGGTGACTGCTTGGAAATTGACCAATGTGACTAGTGAGTGTACATGGTGCCACTTTTTCAAAGCTCCAAGCAATTTCACCCCTGTCAATTCCAGGGCTCATCTGGGAGGCAGCCTTAGGTCCCCCCCTCCCCACTCCCATCTTGGAGGGGGAGGGTCATACCCATGCCCATTCTCCAGCATTGATTATAGGGGTAGGAACATATGAATTTCAGTTAAAGGGGACTTAGAAGATAATCTAGCAAAGGTGTTCTTAACTTAGTATCCATAGACCCCCAAGGGGTCTGTGAATAGATTTCAAGGAGTCCATGAACATGGATGGGGGGAGGAATCACACGTAAAATCAACAAGTATTTATTAAGCACCTAAGTACCAGGCACTATGCTAAGTTGCTGTTATTTGTCCTTCATGCTTGAAGAGGCCAAGATGACATCATGATGTCGGGGTCAATATACAGTGTGCCTGCTGTGGCTGACCATATCAATATGAGCTCAGAAGTCTCTACCACAGGCTGGGCACAAGTGCTAAGTGCTAGAGATACAAAGAAAAAACCTCCCTCACCCCAAAAAAATAAAAGCAGCCCCTGTTCTCTAAAAGCTCACAGTCTAATGGAAGAAATAACATACAAACAATTATGTACAAATAAAGCAGTAGGGAGGGGAGTTCAGAATGAAGGTTCTAAGATTAAGGATGACTAGAAAAAGTTTCTTGCAAAAGGTGGAACTAGTTAAGATTGGAAAAACAACAGGGAAGCCAGGAGTCGGAGATGAAGAGGAAGAGAATTCCAGACAAAGAGGGAAGCCAGTGAAATGTTTAGTTAGGAGATGCAGTGCCCTTTTTGAGGAATAACAGGGAGGCCGGTATCACTGGAGAGTAGCAAATGTCGGAGGACGTAAAGTATCAGAACACTGGAAAAGTCACTAATCTTTGATTGGAATTAAGCATTTTCTTCAATTATTTAAAAAAACATTATTTTGAGAATAG